CTTTGACTTACTCATACGGAATATTTGTTCTTGTTTGAGAGTTTCAGGGTAGGCGAATTTGAGCTGCGATACGCCAGAATAAAGTTCTATTGAAAAATAGCAACAGAAAAGTCTTCATGACATATTTAAGAAGCACAGTTGTTCAAAGTGTCCACGAGGCTTCCTTCTATATTTACATGCATAGTGTAAAATGTTATTACATGATTGATAATTTCGCGAAAATATAATGGATGCAGGAATCACTAATGCTAGTCTAGATCTGACAATAAGGATTAAGCATATCAGTGCAATCATATAATCTGCTAGTCATGTTTTGCTTAGTTCTATTCATCTAGCACATCAGATAAGCTCAGCGACGAAAACTTCATCATTCTAAAGCCATCACTAGGGTTTTTACCGTAAGAAAAACGACTCTTTATTTATCTGTACTGTCGATGGATGGGTCCTATGTATTGGGCACTAGAGAGAGGAAGGAGAGAGGTCGGACGGTGATTGCGTAACAAGGTCAAAATGAAACCGTCGAGCAAGGTGAATTTCTCGCTGTTGAGTGAATTTACTCTCAACTTGTTATAAACATTACACTACAAATTAGGGAATCCCTATAATGCTATCATGCGAATGCTTTATTGTTGTACTCAATTGAATGCTGAAGTGCTACTTTGAGGAGAATCGGTATGACGGGTAGGAGAACAGGGGAGGGGGAGGGAGTTAGGGAGAGAATTGCTCGGACTGGTCGTTAGAGATGGGTTGTATATGGCGGTCCTGGGTTCTATGTTCAATATGTTTTGTGAAATTAAATTAAACTCGCCATGTGTTAAAAAATTTAAGTGCCTGTTCAACATGTTCTATTTTTTTATCAGAGGCTCTTGAACAACGAGAATTTACATAGTTATTTGAGTTTTCTTTCAGCTTCCAATCTAGGTCTTTTTGTTTAGAGCATGAGATGCATGTAGACATTGTAATAACCATACCTGTGTACATAGAGCTCACAAGCATATGATAGGTTGTAATTGGGTAGGGGTCAAATACCAGAACAGCTTCAACAATAAACGGTGCGTCATTTAGTGTCCTTAAACGGAACGTTGGTGGCTTCATTTATTTGGAAAAAATATTGTTTGATTCGTTGTCAGAAACGATCAAAACGTGTAGTTAATCTTGAACTGATGTCATGTTTCTTTGAGCATGAAAAGCTTGCAATACCCTCTAGTTGCCTGAGTCACCGGAAGTATTCATAAAAGATTTAGAAGAAGTTACTTTTTTCTTCTCGCAATACGTGTCACTTTGAGACTTTGCATAGGTAAAGGTTTGGCGTATTTATAAACAATGTAGGCGGTCTACAAAAATGATATTAAAAGTTGGAATAAATAATGGATACAGGGAAAAAAATGACTTCACGTTTGACTTGTGAAAACACGTCTTAATATTACAAAATTTTATGGTAATCTATTTTGAAAGCTAGCACTTTTGGTTACTTTACATTTCAACATTTTTGACCATCTGACCATACTATGTACTCTTTCTCACACATGAATCTAATTTTTTTCCTGATGACCGTCTTGAAACCTAAGAACGCAATCTCATCTAAAGCTATGAGCTGACGTGAATCTTTAAGGATGCAAATTATATTTAGCTTTTTAGGTTATCGCTATGTTTTTATATGGTAGCAAAAACACTATCGCGGCTTTTGAAGATCTTTCGCTTTGGGAGCTCGGAGTGTACGAATGGAGTAAGAGTTATAACGAAAGATCTCTCAGCGACGACTCGTACAATTTCTTAGTGCAACTCTTGGTACGCTCTATCCTTTACTTCCCAGGCCTGAGTCAGGAAATTTAGCTTCCCAAGTTTCAATCAAATCTAGTCACAGACTTGGTTGAAAAAAAAGCAGATCTGCAAAAGAAATTTCTGTAAAAAAATTTTTTGTTGAAATTTTGTGAGCTTCAAAGCAGTGAACTGTTCTTCTAAGTAATGCATTCATTTCTAAGTCGCTGTTTCACTTTCTTAGACCAGATCCTCCATCCGCACCGCCTGTTACTCGTAATATTTCCCATTCTTAGTCTGACTCAATCATGATTTTTCAATTTAAAATATCATATTTAAGGTCTTTGGTAATAACATTTTGGACATGGAAATCAATGCTGATAATAGAAAAGTAGCTCCATATTTTGGAGCAGGTCTTCGGAGCCTTTCCGTTTGGATCTGAAGTAGAAAATAAAATAAGCAATACATGTTTCAGGATTTGCTCTTATGATCGCAATTGTTGTCTTTTGTGTATTCTCCGGTGCCTACTATAATGATGCTTTAGATTTTGGCAAAATGTAAGCTATACAGTAGTTGTATTCTTTTTAAACCCAAGCTGAATCGCTTAACTGCATTCAAGCCAAAATTCTCTTTATCAAGACGTGTCCCCAAAGGAGTCCTCGTGTGACGCTCACAGTTGGAAAACATGAATGGAAAAAAATTTTGAAAATCACCTTAAATTCGAATTCTGGCAAATGTATTTTGACTGAAAAGAATGGAGTATTGAGGCTTGAACCTTTGATCAATGATGGTTGGATGGCCTGCCCTCCTCATGGTGCAGGCTCATGGCCAAGTTACGAAGAGAGCATTGTTCTATTATCTAAGTTGCCCGGCAAAATGGGTGCGTATCGACTGTGAGTCTAGCACGTCGCTGTATTGAAGCTCTCATGGTTACAACGCTCGCTAAATTTTTTGGTGCGTAACAGAGTTGAGAGCACGGTCGAGGTCGAGTCGGACAAGTAGGCTGAAAGCAAGAACTATTTTCCAAAGACAAAAATGTGACCGAAACTTTTT